GAATATTTCTTATCTGAAATGCTTACAATCAGAAGTGTTTCAAATTTCAGATTATTTTGGGTTTGAGGATACTGACATACATACATACATACACATAATGAGCTATCTGGAAAAGCAGGGGTTGGGTAGGGGTGGCTCAAGTCTAAAATGAAATTCATTTGTGCTTCTTATATACCTTATACACATAAGCTCAAGATTACTTTATAAAATATTTTAGTGCGCCTGAGTTCTGACTGCAACCCATCACCATGAAGTCAGTTGTGAGATTTTTTCACTTGTGTCTTATCTGTGATAAAAAAAATTTAAGATCTTGAAATATTTCAGATTTCAGGATTAGGGATGCTCAAGCTGTACTGATTTTATAATGATATTTAAGAACTGCTTGAAGGGCCGGGGATTTAGCTCAGCGGTTCGGTGGCCTGCCTTGCAAGCGCAAGGACCCGAGTTCAATCCCTGGTAGCCCCCCCCCAAAAAAAAGAAAAATAAAAACTGCTTGAAAAAAGGGAAAACAAAACAAACAAAAACAACATGATTCCCTGACCACAGAGGGGAAGAAAACAAACAAACAAACAAACAAACAAAAACTTTGTTTGAGACAAGGTCTCACTAAATTGTTAAACTGCCAGGCTGGGCTGGAACTTGCAATCCTCTTGCATTAGTCTCCCATACTATGGAATTACATGTGTGTGCCACCAGATCCAGCTGAGAACAATCAATTTTTAAATTTTCCTAAAGCAAAGCTCAATGAGGATTCCAGTTAGAAATGAGCTTAATTATTACATTGCTTTCCTCTATTGTATCTCAAACTACAGAATAAAAATGGAAGAAGAAAACAAGAGGCTAAAGCAACCATAAGTACAGCATAATCTTACAGAATTAGGGTCTGGAACCCTTTTTCAGTACTTCTTTGCTGAAAAATTACAAATTTTCAGCCTGTAAGCATATATTTTGTACACAATGGAAAAAATGTAGATCTCCAGCTTATCTTTAAAAAAGCAAGGAAGGGATCTACCAAATCCATCCCTATACATCTGTGTATGGGAGGGACAAATGGAGACTGACCCCCCCCCCGGGGGGCACTGTACCACTAAGCTACATCCCTACTCCCAATCCTTTTTGAGAAAGGGTGTTGCTAAACTGCCAGGGCTGGTCTCAAGCTTGCAATCCCCCTGCCTCAGCCTCCCAAGGAGTTGAGATTATAGACATAACGCTGTGCCTGGCTCAAGTCCCCTTTTTATTTGTCTGTAATGAATGAAATTATAGCATACTCTCTAAAAGAAATACTACCCAAGAAAGTTATTTGCTCTACAGGAGGACAAGCAAGTATTTTAAAAGCTCTGCCAAGAGGCAAAATTAAATATATGGGTACTGTAATTATATAGCCATTTAAAAATATAAAAGCCGATGTCTCTTAGGCTATAACAAGATTTGCAAAGCCCAGTTCTAAAGAATCCTTTGCTTATTATGTTAAAAATTTAAATGTAATTAGTAGAGGCAGAGATTTAAAAACAACCTTCTCATCTGTACGCAATTACTAAAGCAAACTGCCAAGAAATAAATGGTAAGGAGGACAGAACAACTAATTCAGAAATCATAAGTTAGAGGCTCATAAAAACTAAGTTTTTAAGAGAGTGCTTGACAGGTTAGTGGTTATCCATAGGCAAAACAGCACTTATGCCAGTAACAGAGATGAGGTGTCACAAAAATGAGGTCAGCAGGTAGGTTCTAATGTGCTAAGTTTCCATCAGTAAGACAAATCCCTCAAAGCACCTCTACTGGCATTCTATTCTCAGCTCAGGTCCCAGTGCATTAAGATCGGCATACTTTTTCAAAGCAATGCCATAATCTAAATGTTTAGCATCTATTCCAATTCTTCCCAGTTACTACAAATTAGTGATGCCTTACTAAGTAGTATATTTTATTATTCAGCTTTTAAAGTTTACCTATCACTTTATAGATTCACCAAAAACAAAACGGGAAAATTTGAAGATTGGGAATATCAGAAAATTGGCTGAGTATTAGATGGTATTAAGGAATTAATTTTTTATTTCATTAAGTATGATAATAATAGCGTAGTAGATCTGAAAAAATCTTCAAGATGCATACTGAACTAAATACTGGGAAATGACATGATGAGATTTACTCTAAAACAATTCAGAAAAAAATAAAGAAAACAAGAAACAGATGAAACAAAATCATCAAAACACTGGTAACTGATGAAACTGCTAATGGGGTTCTCTGACGGAAAAGGACATATATTCCGAAACAACTCTATTTTTGTGTATGTTCAAATAAACATATCCTAGCAAAAAAAATAAGTTCCTAATTTTAAAATAGCTCCTGGATTAGCGGTTAATCACAAGCCTGATACAGCATAATCACCCCATGCAATAAACTCACACTGGTCAGATCTGGGATACTGACGTCATCCACATCAGAGACGATGCTTCCCCTACGACTGGTGCGACTGAAATAATCAGCGGCGGAAACCTTTCAGCCAGAAAAAATGAGATACTTTAACAGTTGAGAGAGAGGAAAGAAATAAGAACACTGGCCAAAAGGGGAAAAGCTGTTTGTTTTAATTTTGGTATAGGATAAAGGAATATGAAATGAAATAAGGAAACCTCCGCAATGAGAAAAGTGAAGTGGTTCATAAGAAAACTCGCAACTCCCTTAAATTCTTTTATTCATCTTAACTACAATTCTATGCTACAGAGATTATTTATTGCATAAGGGCGAGCAAATCACCCATGCTTAAGACCCCTGACATTCTTAATAGAGGCATTCCATTCCTATGGCAGTATCTATAAAAAGCTTCTACCACAGTTCATAAAATGTATAATTCATTATATGTACCTGTTGAACATAAGTATTTCCCTATAATGATGTGTGAATAATAAATTATCTGTAGGGTGTTTACTGCACCCTTTTTTCCATTTTCCTTAACTCACTCTTTTTCATATTCCCCAAGACCAAGAAATGTAGGACAAAATAATTAAAGAAAGGAACCACAATGGCTCCTTTTGGTTCCCCCTCGTCATCTAGTTCTTTTCCACTTTAAGCTCTGGCACTGGTCTAGAAAACTCTAGTTCCAGTTCTTTGAGCAGCTGGTGCCTACATTTCAGATGTCAGCTAAAAGTCAATTCTTCAGAGAAACCTTGGCTGACTACTCCGTTCAAAGAGTCACCTTCATACATACCCACCCTCCAATGTTCACTATCATAGCACCTGCTTATTCTCTTCACAGACCCTGGGATTTGCTTCTTTTTGTTCCTTTCTTTACGAATTTATTTTCTATCTCACTCGCTAGGATATAAGCTCCACAAAGAAATCTGTTGTGCTTTACCACTTTATTCCTGGCACTTAACACAGCTGCCACAAATATAATAGGTGCAATATAAACATTTAATTAATAAATTATTTTAGCTCACTCATCAGCTATTCCTTATCCCAGCTTACCATTTACTTTGCTTCAAAATACTTCTTGAGTAAAGGACTGCAGAAACCCACTCACAAAAACAAAACAGGCTTAATGTTATCAAGTTCTGCTAAGGGCTAACACAACCAAGCAATGATTTTTTAATTCACAATAATAGCAACAAAAACTGGATTCATACATTCTAATATTAGCACCTACTGACTCAAAATTTGAGTTTCCATGTAGTAATTCATTTAACCCATATGTTAAGCCTACCTACGAAGATATATCTCAACTGTAAATACAAATTGTCATTCACACAACTCATAGGTAGAAGTGGATGCAAGCCAAGCATCATTATTTTATAAAGTCCCTGCCCTTTCCACTCCACTGCTTTCCAAGGTACTCTGAGGTGTTACAGCTTGTTCTATTTCAGCTGTGAACCTGACCACAAATAAGTTGGCAAAAGGATAACAAATGTTTTAATGAGGCACATTTTGACACCAAATCTCACAAACATTTGGTGTTCTCTTCCTCTATGAAAACTTAAAAGTTTACAATTGTTCATGACATTAGTTTGTATTTTTCTTAAAAAGAATTATAGCCTCTTTAGGGTTTATTCTAGTTCCAAGCTGACACACAATTCTCAACAATGTAATTATAAAAATCAGTTCCTTAAATGTAACAAAACACTATCAACTCTCTACAATAAATTCTCAGCTTCATAAAATAACCTGGTGCTTCATTTCATTGAGCACCCACATCCTATATTTTCCAAATAAATCTTTCTCATGCCTCTTTAAAAAAAAAAAAAGAATAACCTGAAATTCTATCATTTGTATTTTAATAGAACTATTTCTCTATACAATTATTTAGTTGAATATCTGAAAGTAGAATTTTCTAATTTTTCTTTCAGTAACTTGTTAAAAAAAGTTCATAGGTCTCAGATGAACAATCTGGTTAAACTTAAATACAACAATAAACAAATAAGGCTGCTGGGCGTGGTGGTGCATGCCTGTAATCCCAGCACTCGAGAGGCTGAGGCACAAGGATCTCTGTGAGTTCAAGACCAACCTGGGCTACACAGTGAGTTCCAGTTCAGTCTCAACTACATAGTGAGACCCTGTCTCAAAAAGCAAAAAAAAAAAAAAGGTATATAATTTTTAATTCATAGTTATGAGTTTTATTTGTGATAGAAGCACATTTTTGCTTGAGAAATTGGTTTTTGGTGAACTGTATATATACATACATGCACATAAAATAACAACAAAGAAACTAGGCATGGTAACACGTGCTTGTAATTCCAGCACTCAAGAGGCTGAGGCAGGAGGACTGCCACGAATTTGAGGCTAGCCTGGACTACACCGCAAGAACCGTCTCAAAAACACCAAAAGAAGAAAAAACAGTTGACAAAGAATAAAAAGTGGAGACCTCAATAAATGACTTTAGACATACATGATGTGAGAGCAAGTATTCTCAAAAACATGATATAAGGCAAATTATTCACATAAGTAAATGGAAGAAAAATGCTCATTTAGTCAAATATAAATTTTACTTTATTCTACATGATCACACACTGTGATCCCTTAAAAAAATCATCATATTTGCATACAAACCATGCTCACCACACTCTCCCTTCGCCCATGACTGGCATGATCAGAAGAAACAATGCTCACGTTGTCATCGCTGATAAACTATAGATATTAAATGCAGATAATGAAAAAGATTCAACTTCACTACAGTCTTAATTTTAAGCACAGACGGAAGGTTTTAAGAAACATGCACACACTCTACAAGCATTATAATTTATGTAATCTAGTGTATGCCATTAAGCAGAAAAACCGTTACAAGGCAAAATAATGAGCTAACCTTAAAAAAGGTATTTCCAAAAAGAACACAAAAAAAGTAAAATCTTCTTTAAATTAAACAAAGTACGAAGCCTGACTAAATTAGTCAAAACTAGGGATTATCATGACTTTTCAGACTGCAGCCCTTATGGGATCCTATCATGGGTCAATAAATACACTTAATGTTTTAGTTTGGGAGAGAAAAAAAAAAGAGTATTTTAAAATGAAATAATACATATTAAAGACAGAATTTCCTACCAGCAAGGATACTGAGTGATGATTCTTATTTCCCTTTATTAATCCCTATACAACTACTTGGAGATGTTTCTAGTGTCACCCTACATGGTAAGGCTTCTTCCTGCTTTACCAACAGAAGGTTCACCCATCAGTATGTATGGTTTAACCTCCATTCCGACATCACTAAGAAACCATTCTGGCATCACTAAGATAGTAACTCTGAATCTAAGTTGCAAATGAATAGGACCTAGGTCGCTCACAAGATATGGTCCTATACTTGATTGAAAATATATTATCAAATTTTGTTTGCAAGGGGCCACACTGCATCTGAGACTTTAAAAATTATACCAAGCCCAAAAATTGCGAAGCAGAATTTTATTATAGAGTAAGTCAAAAGTTAATTTCTTCCTTGTGTGTGTGTAAAAAAGCCTTTATGTCTTTAAACATTCCTGTGAAATTTTTCATTAAAGAGTGGCATTTTTTAAATTGCCACTTGGAAATTGCAGAACTGAACCAATCATAAATGTAAAAGAAAGCCAATATAACTCATCTATTCCACTCTACAAAGTAATCTCTGATGATCATGAAGAAACTATTTAATAATTCTGGCATTATTAAAGATAAGGTAGGGTCAGGGATTTAGCTCAGTGATGCTGCCGCCTGCCTCACAAGTACAAGGACCTGAGCTCCATCCCCAATACCACAAAAGTAAATAAATAAAGATAAGGTAGTTTTTAAACTCATCATTTGCCATTGGGAATGCAATGGCAATTAGTACTGGTTGTTTTGGGGTTGTCAATATGGTAATATATATCATAATTAAAATGTATGTTATTTGAGCCCATCACTTCATTATATGCAATTTACAATTCTACTCATGCAATACACAAAATATACTTGGATTAGAATGTTCATCACAGCCAGGTATGGTGGCGCACATCTGTAACCTCAATATTCAGGAGTCTAAGGCAGGAGGACTGCTGTGAGTTCTAAGCCATCCTGAACTACACAGTGAGTTAAAAAACAGACTAAACTACATAGTGAGACCCTATCTCAAAAAAGTACAAACGAAAACAACAAAAAAAAGAAGGTTCATCACACAATTACCTATAGTAGCAAATATTTGACAACCTAAATGAACATGGTTTTCAAAACACATACTGATGCACTTATGGAGTAATATATTGCCATTATAAAGATTGTGCTGATATGAAACTACCTCTAGAAGAATTCAATGGAAAAAAGTAAGGGACATGGATTGTTAAAAAAATTTTAATGGGACAAGATAATTCTGTATGAACAGATACAGAAAGACACCTTTTTTTTTTTTTTTTTTAAAGAAAACACTGGGAAGCAATATTTATGTTAAAAAAAAAAGCAGTCATATACACATAAAATATTTCTGAAAGGAACCAGAGGTTCCATCTGAGGACTGGTCTACAGGCTTTTATTTTGGGTTTTCCTTAACTAATGCTATTTTTATAAACTGAAAAATAAACTTTAATACTCTAGAAAGATTAGGTAATTAGAACTGTCATTCTTTTGTTTTCTATACAATTTTTAAAACCTGGCTTGCTTTATTTCTTCTACTCCATGACAAAAGTGTTGGTAAGCAAATTAAATGGCTCAATGTAGGAAGACACAAAGGAAAAGCAGGGTAGCCAATGCAATAGTGAATTATATACTGCTAAAAACACAAGTTTCACAGAAACAACAACTAAATAAAAAAAAACTTGAAAGTTTTCTAGTTATGATGTTTCCAGACTTAAGAAATTATGTGCTGTGTCACATTCATACAGAAATTATTAATTAATTAGTACTGCACTTGATTTTGTGTACTGAGGGAATAACACAATCCATGCACAAGAGTGAAACACGGCACATCCTCAATATTCTAACCAGTACATACAGATTAATGACACACAAAAAGTTTTTATAGCATGCAAAGACACTAGACAGCTCACCACAGGACTGCTTCGGGCTGAACTTGTTCTCGATGAGTAACAACTGTATTCAGATGGCTATAAAGTTTCAAAGAAGAAAAGCTTTACAACAATGAGAAATTCCTTTTTCTTCAGGGAATACATTAGTGACCACAGACTGAATTCCCAGAGTGAATGTAACTGTAATTCTCTAGTCTGGAACTCAACCCTACTCCAACCCTCAGGACCCATCAGTCCTCTGAGAGGAGGTAACAGGGACGTCCTCAGAAGAGTTGTTCGGACTTCTTCAGGAGAAACTAATGCACAACAAAAGAGGTTTCTCCACTTACTCCCCTCATACTTAAGCCATAATTTCGAGGAAGCCCTTTCTCAAAGTTTAAACAAGAGTCACAAGTGGCTAGTTCAGTGAATAAAGCACATCTTGTAGTTACAATTCAGATTAAATAACTTTTTCTTTCTATGTAATCTGTACCTTCCTACATCATTCCCCTCCTCACAACTTCTCTGTATAGACTTACAGTTCGGGAACCATAAGCATTATATAATCCACCACTGTATAATGATACCTAAAGAACAAAAGAAATGCCATTTATCTACTTATCATCAACATTGTTTTGAAAATAACTTTCTCTTTTGCAGTACTCAGCTCCAAAAGTTTTGAAGAATGAAGGGAAGACTGAAGGTAGTAAATTGCTCAAGTCAGTCTCATAACATCAAACTTCACATTTCATACAATAGCACCACTGGTTAAAATATTTTCTTTCATCATTATGTTACAAAATTAAGAGAACTAAGATATATTAATTTATTCTCTAAAAAAGAGAAAACATAGCAGAAAAGGAAAATGGGGTCAGAGAACATTCTGCCCATTGCTGTAATAAAATTAAGTCATAAAATCTCAAGAGACCCAGTCTACCAGTACAGGTCACAATACAACAGCTCAAAAGCAACCAAATAACAACTTGCACATTACACAAAGCTACTGCTTTAGCTTTCTAGCCTGCTTGCTTTATTAGAATACAGATTCGCATGGTCAAGGTCACAGCTGTCCTAAAGAAAAATAGGACATCCTTTCCATGGGCAGCCATTTCACAAAAGTGTATGTGGTAGGACCCATGCAAATCTACCTCCTTTGCAGGCAAGTGGCTAATGAACAGTCAGCAGTATCTACCTCTATGAAGGGAAGACCCCCCTATACTTATATCCCAAAGTTTTATATTCTAAGCACAGATAGCACATTCCGCAATATACATGGCACTAAAGCCTTGTGTCCTTGACTATTTTGGAGGAAAGCTTTTAAGACACATAGCACCGTGATTGTGTACCCATAGCAGTACACACAGAAGAAGAAAACACAAACCAGACTAGTACTTCTCAGCAGACCAAAATTTGCAGTAGGAGAAACCTATGAAAAAAAATACATTATTAAACCTCAAGAAAAGTAACTTGTAGTTCTAAAGGCAACACTTTCTTCAGAAAGTACTAACCCTGTTGCTCTTAGATGGTGTCAAATGGTCACTGTAGAAGGAAGAAGACTGCTAAGAAAGACAAAGCAAAATAAATAAGCAAAAATGAATTGGTCTCAGCATGCTACAGCAAGAAGCTTATAGTTTTATATTCTATAATTCATTAGCAATTCCTGCTTACTTCAGTACTTTAGAAACACATGCAATAAGAAACTTATTAGAAACTTTTAAAAAATACCAACTATAACATAAGATCCTAATGAGATAATTGACCATGTGAAATAGGAAGAAAAGCGCTAAAGGTGTAGGGAAAGTGGGAAGGGTAGGGGAAAGGTAATGAGGGAAAAGAAAAAAATATGACAAAATGAAAAATGGAAATAAAGTGTTTGTAAATGGGGAGTGAAGGGGGGATGAAGGGAGGGCAGGGACAAAGGGAAAAAATGAGAACCAAGACCTGTCATGTAAAGGTACAAGATCCCAATGATGAATGTAACCGTACTGTATACCTAAAATGTACCAATAAACTCAATGAGAAAAAAAAAATCAACTATAAGGGATAAGAAAGAAAATCATTAAATTAAAATTGACTATAAAAAATTAAATTTAAAATTGTCTATAAATAAATGTGTTTAAGTCCTATGGGTCTCTGAACATTATTAGGATATGTGATGGGAACCTACGAAAACATTAAGAAAAAGAGGGCCATAACACCGAGAATGTGGCAAATGGCAACCACATCCCAGATCAGATATTCTTGATATTTTCACTGACTTCATGACAAATTTCTAATGGGTTTAGATTGGGTACTAGAGAACAGAGAAGTTAGCTCTGAATTACAGCCAGAAATATTCTTTTCCAAACAATTTAGAAAAGTGTTATGTCAAAACATGCCACGGACAGATTGCTTTAGTCTAATTGAATAAACTGTACCAGTCACCACAAATCCATGTACTGAAAGGGCATGGCTTTTAATTTTTTTTAAATTTTTATTAGTACATATTTGCAGCACACAATGATTATGTAAACTCATTGTGGGGGTTTTTAATTTGCCTTCCTCACTCTTCCCTTCCCACCTCTTCATCTCTTGGTCACCTAAAGTATTTTTTTTTAACAGTATGTTTTTTAAAGGATTAAAATATCTTTTTTCCTGATGTCACCTGAGGATATAATTTTCAAGTCTTTTTTTTTTTTTTTTTTTTTTTTTTTTAAGACAGGGTCTCACTATGTAGTTGAGGCTGACCTGGAACTCACTATGTAGCCCAGGTTGGTCTTGAACTCACAGTGATCCTCCTGCCTCAGCCTCCCAAGTGCTGGGATTATAGGTGTGCGCCACCACACCTGGCATTTTCATGTCTTTTTAAGTAAACCCAATCAGACATGGAAAATAATGGTACTGAAATTACATGTGCAGGTTTAACAAGTTGACCACCACTGCAACAATCACTCCACAAATTCCGAGGTTTGAACCTAGGGCCTCACACATGCTAGTCAAGTGCTCTATCATGGAGCTATACTCCCAGCCCTGAATTATTTTAAATGACTGTGTCTCATACAGTGAATGTATGCTTTAAATGTATGATATGCCAAATCTTTAAAAACAAGAGTTTAACATTAAACAAATACATTTTTCTCATCTGGTATAGTTTATATTTTCATGTGTAAACTTTTAAAGAAGTGCACCCATCTTATGAAATGTACTTGTGCCTACTGCCTCAATAGTTTAACTGAAGGCATACTCAACATGGACTATATGAATTCAATTACCAAAAACTGGTATGTACACAGTCATTTGTCTATTAGTTACAACTAAAATGGGGGATTAGAAATGTGTTAAAAGTGGATAAAACACATGAAGCCAAAAAACTTTAGACAGACCCGAATGCAGTATGCAGATGTAGGTTTGCTATGTCTAAGACTGCTATAGTTCCTCTTATCAAAGTAGAGGCCACTCTGCAAAAAGCAAAATTAAACATATTTTCCTAGGTCAAATGTTGCTGACTTAACAAAACAGACAAAATCTAAACATATAAAGGTAAAATCTGATATTGCCCAATTTCCTTGACCAAAACAATTTCTTCTAAAGCATTAGAAGTAAGATTATAGTAAGAAATTATAGTAAGATTATAGTAAGAAAAAGTCAATGTAATAATTATTTCAAATCTCTTAAAATAAGTATTAAAATTTAAATATTTTCAAACAAGTAATTACTAACATTTTATTATTTTGAAAGCAAGACAGGAAACTGTTAGACAAAAAGAAATGGAAATAACCATGTCATACTTAAGAATGTCCCTGAAAAATCTAGGGCAGCTGAATAATTACCATTTTATAGTCCATCTGGCAAAACTACAAAAGTTACGATTTATTTGATTCCCAACTTCTCCTATTCCCATTATTTGTGAAAATAAACTACAAGAGGGGGGAACTAAGGAGAAAGAGGGGCAGGAGGTCTAAATCATCTATAGCAGGCTCATTTCCAATATCCAATACAAAAATAACACTTGTATATAATGTGATTGCTTGAAACAGTGAAATTATCTATAAAATTTCCTTTCCAACTTCTCTAGCCATCATTTTCTTTTACCCAGTGTTAAGTAAATGTATGCAATCTTAAAAGTCTTCTTTCTTTACTACTGACCTTGCAATCCAGGATATTACCACCATCCTGCCTCTACAACTCCTAGCCCTGCCTTCCCAGGTTACTTCCCACTCATATCCTCAATGAGGCACCCTGATTCATCTCTGCCCATAGCTCTAATACAGAAACTGCCAAGGCCTCTGACTCATCTTCCTTCCATTACATTCTCCCTTCCCAGTCTCTTCTACCAGCCAACTCCTACCAAACCCCCACCCCAACACTCCCATGGGGATCTTGAACTAGAAGGGAGCTTGAGGCTATACTTCTTTTGCAAGTGATAGGGCTGTATGGCAGGAGAGAAGTGTTCCTAGTGACCAAAGAAAGTATTCTATAGACATTTTTCTCCTACATAAATGTTTAGCAAGGTGATTAGAATGGAGAGCATATTAATTACTTACATTTTAGGTTAGAGAGTTTTCTGTAAGCTAGTATGAGAACTGCCATTACATACTTCACTAGTTTCTACAAGAAAATGTATTTCAGCTCCCAAAGCACACATTTTGAGAATGAAAGCCACTTAAGACTGGTATGGCCCATAATACCGAACTAAATAAATCAGTTTCCAAAATGAGAATGAATCTTCACTAAATCCATTGAGATATATTCCAAAGGATAGTTCATAAATATCTCCTTAATGAGCTTCTTGTGAATAACTTACTAACCTAATGCTACCCCTTAGAATTAGGATTTGTTAATCTATCATTAAATCTTACAAATAAAAACAAAACTACTTTCAATAAGATTTTACCATATCATGTTTCAGCACTTTATAAAGTCTCAATATTGTCTTAGGAGCATATAAAAACAGTCATAACTCTCACATTACCTAAAGTAATTAGTAAATTATGAAATGACACACAGCAAAACTAACCAGTGGGTCTTTATGAGAACCAGAAGATCTCTTCTTCATTCCGTAAGACTGACTATGAGAATGATTCTGGAAGTAAGTATTTTAAGTTAACTTTAATAAAAACATAGTGAACTTTTTAAAATAATAAAATTCATCTAGAGATAATGTACACAAAAGTCAGTATAAGATATAGAGCAGTCTATTTTCCAGCTGTTAATAAAGGATTCATTGCACTTGAATGGCTAAGATATGTGGGCTCTCTAAATTTCCTCCTTCCTTCCCTTATGCCCAGCACCTGGCTTAGTGTCTACCCAGGTAAAGAAAACCTGATTAGGATTTAGTGTCAGGGAGAATGTGGAGACCAACACTTCACACCTGAGTCCCTCTAGCTTCTTTATTAACTATAGGTAACAAGAAAGTCCCCTTCTTCTGTTATCTTCTTACTTAAAAGCCAAAAGCAATCCTTTGGATTAACAAAAACAAGATTGAGGACAAAGAATAAAACACTTTGCTCCCCAAGACAGTACTATTGGAAGGCAAAGAAAAATGCCATAAATTAAAAATAAAAGGGGATTATTTTCACAGTCCTTGAGACGTAACTTTGAAGCCTTTGTGATTTACTAGATGATTCTTTCCAAAGTATTTAAACAGAAAAATCAAAAGTGCATCCAGGGAAACATGACAAATTCATGAGTTTTCCTCCTAAAAAATCACATTCTGTATAATCTACTGATTATCTGAGATTTCCATAAAGGAAATATTCCTAAAAGTCTAACTTTGTGAGCAACCAAAATATGTGTGATTAAAGAAACAGTTTACAAACTTACTTTAAAAAGACAGTAGATTACAATCACCAAAAGAAAACAAACAGCATGTGACAGAATCTTAATGAACACAAACATGTCAGCAATGAGTGTGCCAGAACATATTGAGGTTATTATAGTGTATTTTTACACATTGTATAGGTAAGAAAATCAGAGTTGGATAAAATTAACAAATACGGACCTTAAGATTTTTTTATTGATGAAAAATAGATAAGATATGAATATATATAAAACATTGTCACTGTGCAAATTAAAAACAATGTTTTGAAGGTTTAAAGCAAAGTTCTTTAAGAAAAGAGAGATCAATGTCTCCGCATAACATGAAAGCCTTTAAAGATCAAATTTTCATTTATCTTGATTTACAACAATCTATGCTAAATTTAAGGACATTTTATAAAATGTTAATCAAAAAGTTAAAGCATGATAATTTTTATGCATGTGACAAGCACAGAACTTTTTAAATCAAATCAAATCAATCTTTCCAAGAAATAAAATTATAATCAGGCAAAGCTATTTTCCATTTTAAAAATTCTTTTTTTAAGACATAAAAGGAGGAGGAACCTAAGTTGGAAGCAAGCAGATGTTATTCTATAAAATCAGTCTTATCTTTTCTGAAATCAAAGGTCCCTCTACAGGAAAAAATAGGCATACATTAGTAAATGAAAATATTCAAGATTTTAGAAATTATTTATCCACAGCAATAATTTGAAAGAAAGCATCACTCTCTGATCAAAGAATTTTGCCAGTATATTCTATTTTAAGTACAACAGCATAAATGAACATTGTCAGATTGTTGATAATTGCTGATGCGGAAGAAAGCACTCACTCATCAGCTTTGCGATTATGGTATGCAAAGAACTTAAAGTACAAACCCTGTGAGTTCCAAGACTTCGAAGGGACAATGTATTCTCAACTTCCTTATAAAAGCAAAAACAAACATAGTAAAAGTTTGTGAATGACTAAATTAAGTTAATTAGTAAAAGTATCTGAGGTTATTACAAACCAGATAAGGACGATGATGACTGGACCGGTGGGAATACCTGGCCCTTTCTGAATCTTCCTGGGAAAGGAAAACGTAATATAAGTCAATCACTGCACAGACAGGTGTTTATGAGAACAATGGAGCAAAGAATAGTTTGTTAACAGCACAGCAACATCTTAGAGCAAGCAGGTTCAGATAACTTAGCTTCAAAAACTGAGCTTAGGGACACAGCATGCTTTGCTTGGAGAGAAAATAGAAATACCTTGGCACTGTTTTTATTTATCAGGTGTACGAATGTCTGACAACTTCTAGGTTGTTATGTATATATGACCAAGAAAGCACAAAATACTAAGATAAAAATAGGCAAGTATAATTAACTAATAGATGTTAAGTTCAACATTAGAGGTAATGTCTTCCCCGTTGGGGAATGTTGGTTTATGCAAGGGAGGAAGAAATGTTTATCAGAGATACATTTTAAAGAGATTGTACATGGCTTTAAAAACACTTGGGAGTTAAAAAAAAAAAAAAACAAACACTTGGGGTTATAATTCTCGGTACTTAGGAGGCTGGGGTAAAAAGATCCCTTGAATTCAAGACCAGCTTGGGCTACCCAGTGAGTTCAAGACCAGTCTAAACTACATACCGAGACCCTCTCTCAAAACAATGATGATGATGATGATGATGATGATTTTATACTAACTGGAAATAGGGTTTTTTTTTTTCCTTTCACTACTCCAGGTGGAAAAGAACTGAAACAGACCCTAATTGTGTGCTGTTAATATAACTACTTATACTTAAACGAAAGTATATAAATATCTTAGTAAAGCTGTCAAGGGTTCCCTTAAGTTTGTAGAAGATTGAGCACACTTAACAGCTAAATTATTTGCAATTCTAACCTTTTCCACATTCGACTATCAGCAATGAAGCATTAAAAACTGAATCATGTGGAATCACATGATTAGTCCCTAGAACATAATCATCTGCAACCATAAGGAATTTCTGATCTTTCAGAATTGCAAAGTCCAAAGCAGTAAAATCATTTAAATTGACTAAAAATCTACACTTCTGAGTTCACGCTATTAACATCTATGCTATCTTTTCCAAAATGAATCAATATTGCAACACTCCATGGCATTCCAGCCATGACTGTTACACAGATAAAACAAATGGATGGGGCTATATCTGACCATTTCAAAACAGAAACAGTAAATCAACCAAAACATCAGTTTTATGGCTTGATTTTGTTAGGATCTTTGAGTATATTTTTTTAAATTCCTGGTTAAGATCTACTGAATACACTGCCACATTTGATCAAACTTGTATTAAAGTCTGTTTTCAACCACCATTATGATGAAATGATTCTATCAGGTGTTCTAACCAAGCATTATTTCTTCCTGTTCTTTATTCAGTGATGCCACAAAAGTTTAGGGGGTAGGTGTTAGCCCAACATACAGTTTAAGTGGTAATCAGTTCTGACTAGATAGCCTGGTGAGTTTTAAAAGCACTGTCTTATAGAGGTGAGTTAATTTTATATTCCCCATATCCTGTGGTGATACTCAAGGCTTGATACCCAATCTTCCATTTATGCTACCCTGTCTTTCCATTCCAAGAGCATTTCTTAATTTAAAAAAATCCATCTAAGGAACACATCTCAAAGATATGGCAGACAGATGAATTCATATTTATTTTCTAGTATGTCTATGATTTTAAAAATTCTAAAATAAAACACCTTATTAAGAACTGAACTGATATACCTCTATACTTCAACAGGTTTTCTTTTTAGTTCCATTTGAAATTTGGCCTAGAAGTCTTCAGAAGATTACAAAATAAAATGTAAATCTCACATAAAGCAGTTAATTTGAACACAAATATAACTATACTTTCAATAAGCACTGTCCAATAGCATTTTTTTTGTAATAATGGAAATGTTCTAATCTGTGTCCTCCAATGTGGATAGCCCCAGAGCCACATGGGGCTTCTGGGTACTTCAAATGCTGGAAGTGAAACTGAAACATGAAATTTTAAATTGTATTTCACTTTATAGTCTAAATTTAATTACTCATACATGGCTAATTGCTACCAGATGAGACAGTACTTCTCTAAACCTATCTGAAAAGTGTTCAGGTGAAACAGGCAAACTCAAAACAAACTTCTATTATACCAAAAACATTCAAAACATGTATTCTACTAAGAGTCTAACGAGTAGCACCACTTTTATATAGAAAAGTGAAACACTTTGGATAGTTTTAATGACTCCTCCTACCTTGAATACTTTTCACATAGTGGCATATGTGAAATAAACAGAGGGAAATCCTTGTAAAAGGACTCCATTAACATTTTACAATTATTTTGTAAGAGCTATAAGGGTTCTAATCCCATCTGTTCATTTCATAAAAAAGAAAGGTATAGCAGAAGATCTACAAGGTCAGGGCTGGGGATGTAGTTCAGTGGCACCACACCTGCCTGGCAAGCACAAGGTCCTGAGTTCAATTTGTACCAAAAACAACAACAACAAAACCAGTAAGAATCTACACAGTCACAAAGATGGACCATCTTGATAGTTAATTTGCATTTTAAGATCCTACCAAAACTGCCCTCCTTCCAACTAGTATTTCCAATCAGTACTCTCACTGCTTAAAATGCACATATATCACAGAATTATTTTCCAAATTATTTATCTTTATGGCTGCTATGGCTTGTGTCTAGATGTCCGTTCAAAGCCTTATGAGCTCATAGGTGGGGCTTTTCAGAGGTGGCTGGACCTAGAGTGCATGATGCTGGAATTAAGGGTACATACTTACTAAATTAGTACACTGATTGATTTAGCATAGTTCTGGGTGTGGATAATAGGAAGGCCCACCTGGGTCTGAGTGCTAACCTCTCTAAGGGCATGTAACCTGCACAGAATATAAGGGACATAAAGAGGGCTGCCGTTGTCACCTGTTGCTTCACTACTTCACTGCTTTCTGCATTCTGCCTGCCATGAACTGTTTCTCCTCTGGATGCCCCTCTGTCGTGCCACATTGCCTTAGAGCCAGCCAACTATGAACTGAAACCTCTACAAACTGTGAGCTACGATAACCTTTCTCCCTTAAGGGTTGGGTATTTTGTCTCAGCAACAATAAAAGTAACTAAGACAATGGCCTTGAACACAGAAATCAAATATTAAGGCTTTTAATAAATGCTTATTTTTTTCTTTAAAGTTTTCTGGTCTGTCCTAAGACCTAGGCAATAAATTTTAGGCAATCTAATTTTATAATTATAATGTAAAATTAAATATTTCTATAAAAACTTTGCAAGTAAATGTAATTTATTTCATACAGAATAATTTTAATGTACCAGCAATAATACTAACCCAGTTACATACAGAAGACATATTAAATTAAATTAATTAGGCTAGCTTTTAGTTACAAGTGCTAGTCTACTCCAAAATAAAAACATGCATGAGGAGTCACTTAAGTTACCATATGACTTTTTTTCTTTTCTAAAATGGTATCAAAATAAGAATAGTGATTAAGTTTTAAACTCAAGTCATGATAGTCATAAACATTTTAATTATAGCTACACCTTAAAATGCTAGCTCAGAAAGGATTTCTTATAAAATCTGTTCATTTCGCAGCAATTATACAGTAGTTACTAACATTCAGAAATCACAGACTTGAAACTCTAATATAAATTCCTGTGAACGTTTCCTATAAAAATACAATACATTCAAAAATTTGCATGAGATTTTCAAGCTTCATAATCTATACCCCAAGTTTAGTTATGTACCAAGTTAAGAACTCCTGCAAAAAGACAATTGGTGAGCTTACCAACCTTGAAAAAAATTGTTAAATTTGAACTTATAATAACTAACATTCTACAGTAGTTTACAACTTACTATTGTAGCTAACAAATTTGAGAGTGGTGGCAAAGGACTTGAAAAGGAGCTGAGAGAGAATACTAAAAGTAATTTTCAGATGGCATAGAAGAATAACGAGTCATGTCTCAATGAAGACCCTGTGAATTTAGTTTTTTAACAGAGGGGAAGGGAGAAAAGGAAGGAGGAATTTGAGAGAGAAAAGAACAAACCCATAGAAAGAAAAAACATTCATTTACTCAATCTTTCCTGACCAGGGGCATTCATGTGATGAAAGCAAGGCTACTTACCACAAAAGACAATGACTATGTGAGATAATGAAAAGATGGAAATAAAATGTTTGCAGATGGGGAGGGGAGGAGGGGACGAAGGGAAGGCAGGGACAAGGGGAAAAAATGAGAACCAAGGCCTGTCATGTAGAGGTACAAGATCCCAACAATGAATGTAACTGTACTGTATCCCAAACTCAAAGCTGAAAAAAAAAAAAAAAAAGAATACAATGACTGGGCTCTGAGTACACATTTGGTCCATTACAGACAGAATACATACTCTCTGACCCTGAGGTTCACAAAGACCAAACACTCTTTAAGACTTTGCAAACTATTAGTCAATGTTTTACTTCAAGATTGCATTATTTCAACAAGTTATCACAACATGCAGGACAGGCAATCCTGGCCTACCAGCCACTTGTGAATCTGTCCCCATTTCCGGTCAAAGGAATGATGAGAGTGCTACAAATGCAAAAGTTTCACAAACTGAATAGTTTTCAACATACTGTATTCTCCAAAAATTCTTAAATCAATTACATATACTTTCTCCAAAGAACAATGACAGTTGACTCAGACATTCAAAACATAGGAAATTACTAGGCTAATAATAAATTACTAGATTCAATAATAAAAACATACATGAGGGCCGAGGATTTGGCTCAGTGGTTCCACCACCTGCCTTGCAAGTAAGTGCAAGGACCAGAGTTCAATCCCCAGTACCAAAAACAAACAAACAAATAAAACAACAACAACAAAAATACATGATTTTTTGCAGTGTAGAGAACCACAAATAGAACCTCTATTTAATACTTATCTATTTATTCCTTAGTATCATCTTAGGAGTATAAAAAACAATACATTGCAATATTTACATTTCCAGCCAAAAACTACAATCAGTATTAGTACTTAATACTACCGCACAGGTATTTCCCCCTTTATACTAATAATACAGTGTCAAAAATATTTTTATGGGAATTTTTAGGGTCCAATTAATGTAAGAAGAAAAGGGTACAAAGCAGCACTTCATTTTAGTTAGCCCAATTTCTATAGGTCTATTTAAAAAATATTTTTAGTTTTAAATTATTTTTCTTAGTACACGTTTACAGTATATGAATTCATTCCTTTTGGGAACTGGTACATGTACATAACACATTTTCATTCTTTTATCATCCCCTTCCTCTCCCCTCCCTTCCCTTTCCCTGTATCTATTGCTCTTCACTTTTGCAAAAGATCTCCCTATTTCCTATTATCTATATTTTATTTTGCTCTTTAATTACACTTTATTTCTCATAACAGAAACCATTTGCAATTTAAGCTTGTGCATCTAATTTATTTCACTTAGCATTATGGTCTCAAGGTGTATCCATTTTTCTACCAATTACTCAATTTTATCCTTCTTTATGGCACAGTAGTAGTCCAGTGTACATAAAAACCATGTTTTCTTGGGCTGGGGATTCAGCTCAGTGGTTCCGCTGCCTGCCTCGCAAATGCAAGGTCCCAAGTACGATCCTGGGTATCAAAAAAAATTTTTTTTTTCTTTCTCCATTCATCTGTTGATGAAAATATAGGCAGCTTCCAGATTTAGCTATCAGGAGTCGTGCTTCTAAAAACATTGGTATGCATGTACCACTGTGATAATACGATGTCTTTAACTCTTTAGGGAAGGTATCTAGAAGGGGAATAGCTGGGTCAAATGGAATTTCTACTTTTAGTTTTTTGAGGACTCTCCATGTTGATTTTCCTGAATACAAAAATCATATTAAAAATCTGGAAACTACTAAAAAAACACTAAGAAAACATAAAATCAACCATAACTCTACATACTCAAATCAAAATATTTGATGGCAATCACTTCTAGTAGTTTTTGATCTTACAGATGGATGGATAATGGTTTTTGCAACATAAAATTGGAGCCCCTAATGATTTTCTAATTTTGATTTTTTAAATATTTTCTTATATGAATATTTTCTTTCATTATTCAATGTTTCAAAATTATAAGATTAATTTCAGAGTTTCACTGGACAGGCATGGTAATTCAAATTACAGGACATGTAGATCTATACTAAATGTCATCTCTAAAGCTACAAACATAAAAAGAGCATTTACAAAACCATAATAATTAATAATACTATACACAGTAAAAGCTGTGTATGTTTGTTGTTTAAAACAAGTACTGCATTTACTTGTTGACATGAAATTGTATATTAAAATATATACACTAGGCTAGACTATCACAGTGTTTCAAATGGAACCAGATTCACAGCAGAATTATACTAGCCAAGTATTGATGGGGGGAGGGGTAAGAAATTCAGGTTATTCTCCTAAATTACCTCTTTTTGTTGTCTCTCCAGTTCTCTCATGCGTATATCTCTTGCTTCTGCCCGAGCAGCACGTTTTGCTGCCAGTCTTGCCTCTGCCTGAAAAGTAATATAAGACTCAACTGTAAAAAACAAAATCAACCTGTACACCAGATTTGAGGATAAAAAGCAAATAGGACATTACCTTCCAAAGGGGCTGAGGAGACAAGATATCTATCAACAAGCCCGACTGACCTTCTGTCAACCTCTACACATTTGCTTCTATCCCTAAATCTCTTTTTTTTCCTCATTGAGTTTATTGGTACATTTTAGGTATACAGTACAGTTACATTCATCATTGGGATCTGTACCTTTACATGACAGGTCTTGGTTCTCATTTTTTCCCCTTGTCCCTGCCCTCCCTTCACCTTCTCCTTCCCTCCCCATTTACAAACAATTTATTTCCATTTTTTTCATTTTCTCATATTTTTTTCTTTTCCCTCATTACTTTTCCCCTACTCTTCCCACTTTCCCTACACCTTTAGCCCTTTCTTACCCTAAATCTCTCTTCAAATATGAACATTACCCTTAACTGCTTGCCTTGATTACACATTTAACATAATTCACAGAGTTCATTACAGATCTTTCCAAACTTAATTCTTTTTCCAGCATTTTTTTTCTTTATCAATTTAGTCAAACTAGAAACTTCAAAACCAACTGCAGTTTTATTGAGGGTATTAGCAATATTCAGTATCCAAGTAACAGAACTGACAAACAGAATTCTCTACCACTGAGTATCTCAAACTCTTGCTTGCTACAGGATCTCCCTCCCTCAATTTCCATCTGTCTCACACCCACTTTCTCTCTTCCTCTCCTCTTCCCTACCTTCCTTTCCTTAAAACTGAGATATAATTTACATATCAAATTCGTTCCTTAAAAGTATAAAATCCAGTGATTGTTAGTATATTCACAACCATCACTACTAACTTAAGTTTAAAAAGAAACCCTCTATCTTTTAGTAGTTACCCCACATTATACCTTCCCCCAACTTCTGGCAACCACTGATGTACTTTACATGTCTAGGAATTTGCCTATTCTTGACAATTCATATACAGTAACTGGATTCATACAATAGGAATATTTTATCTCTTGCTTGGGCTACTACAACTGCCTCCAGATCCATCAACCTACCTACCTACATATTGTCTGATAATGTCACTGAGCGGTGTAAAATCCTCCATTGGCTTCCCATTACTTATGATTAAAGAACAGGTTTCTTGGAACAGCACCAAGAAAAGGAAGAGAGACAAAAATAGAAACAAGATTCCTCACAATCAGCTCCCCACCTTAAGCTCCCAGAACTTGCTCTAAATGAACTAGATGCATACCATCTTCTATGCCTGGCCTCTACCAAGTTCTGCTACAATCCTCTCTTCACAGACTATCTGTTTAGAGGATAAATTCAGACAAAATATCACAGTCTATGAATACTTCCCCCTTTCTCTCTTTCATCCAGTAATAGTATACACCAGTGATGGCAAACCTTTTAGAGCTTTCAATGATACAAACAGCCTGCTGTGGCACACACACCACAGTCATGCCACCACTGGTATACACCCATGCTTCTATTGTGGCTTTATTACATTATATAAAAGTTGCATGCTTCTGTCACTCCATAACTTTTATGCTACAGTGTTTGCTAAATAAGCAAATGAATTTTGGGCCATGAGCCAGAGTATCAAGGAAATGAGTTTATAAGGCATTAACTTGATATACCACAGGAAACTTAAATACTCTATCTTCTTTCTGGTTTCTATATTGTAGTGGTTTCTCCTCTGCCCTTGGCCACATCCTAACTCTGATTCAAATTATCCCCTATGATAACTATGATAGTTGCTTCTTTTCATTTTGTCCTATTTGTACCAAATAAGAACAGAATTGGCCAATGTTTAAAAGGGTCTACTCTGTGTAAGCTATTATGTTAGGTGCTAGAAATACAGAGTAAGATATGAAATCTCTGCCCTAAAGCAACTCACTGTCAAAGTTGAGGGAGACAAACACAAACATTTACAGGCAGGGAAGCACACAAAAGACAGAAATTACTTTTGCCTAACATGGTCACCACAGGCTTCTAAGAAGAGGAGACAGCTCAATAGTTAATTCCTATCTACCCTGACTTTGTCTATTTCCCAGTCTGCTTAACTGCCAGTCTGTTAGTAGCAAATCACCTATAAAATACATTGTAATCTAGATCTTAATACACAACCACAGACATGTCTAGAGCAACTGGTACTCTCACATGAATATTACACTGGTCTCTATTTTTTTAAAAAACCTATGCTTGGGCCAGGGATTTGGCTCAGTGGTTCTGCTGCCTGCCTCAGAAGCACAAGGGCCAGAATTCATTCCCTAGTACCGAAAAAAAACAAAAACAAAAACAAAACAAAAAAATGCTCTACTTCAAATTAGCTGCCTTCTTTATCCCTTAGACTACGATTAGATATCAGTTTCTTACTAGAATTTGTATTTTATAGGAAAACATTTCAAAGCTAAGCTATGCTTTAGTATACAGCAAATACATTTTCAGACTATAAAAGTAACAAAATTTTCAAATCTTTTAAAATTTAGAGCCATAGCAATGACAAAAGAGTTTTCATTTACATGTATATTAGCTTTGTACCTACAGTCTCTCTGAATTGAAAATGCCAGTATTAGCCTGGTGGGATGGTAAAGCTGCTGAGGCACAGGTATCACAAACTTGAGCCCCACCTGGGCAACCTAGCAACATCCTGTCTCAAACTAAAATATTTTCAAATATCTGGAGATGAGAAGGCCCTTCGTTTAATATGCATCCCCCCAAAAAAGCCAATTTCACACTTCTGGGATCTCTCTGTGGCCAATTCTGCACAATCTACACTAAAACAAGGCTTCTCTAACAAAACCTAAATTGAATCAATAGATCAATGAAATCTATTCTTTAATAAGACTTCTTTCACAACAAAAGAAAACAAAAACACGGGTTTCAGAGATACACAAACTACTTCTCTTTTTTAATGAGCCAAACTCAGATGTTAGCTCTACTAGATACAGTAGAAGAAAAGTTACTAAAATACAAGTTTTAAAATAGGGAATCAAGGACCAGCAATTTAACTCAGTGGTTCTGCCACCTGCCTCGCAAGCACAAGGACCCAAGTTCAATCCCCAGTACCAAAAAAATAATAAATAAAATAAAATAGGGAATCAGGATGTAAAACTATTATATCTTCCTCTTTCTATATATTGCTACCAGGTGCCTGAAGTAATTTCAACAGGAAGAGTAACAATGAGCTATGGCTGATTCTAACTCACTCTGCAGAAATTTGGAACCAGCAAGTTACTATGTAGCTACCACTGATGTTCTAAGATAGATTTTATCAAAAACAAGGCACACATCTCAGGAAGACTATGCTATCCCACTTGTTGCTAGTGTTGGTAAACTTGAAATTGGTTATCTCTAAGAAGAGGCAGTCCCGTGAACATGTACACACTAAATATAAAACAAGTTCACTGTTAGTCTTAACAAAATAAATTCCACTGAGCCATTCTATAGCCAGAAAAAATAAAGAAAATAGTTAAGGAAGTCAGAATTTACATTAAGTGGGTTACAACCCTACACAGTAGCTTTTCTGCCAATTTTGGTTAGAATAGTGACTATATGCTGAGCCAAGCACAAACATTTGGATTCAGAGGGTGGGAAATTACCCATAAAGATGGCCATATGAGTAGAACCCCACTGCTTGATTCTATGGATTACATTCTGCCAGTAACTCACCCAACTGACAAGCATTTCCATCTATTCCTCCGGGATATCTACAAAACTGATGGACTGGCATAATCGTCATGGCCCAAGTAGAAATTGCTAGGCTCAAGCCCAACATGGTAGTCACCTTTGTTCCAATCAATGTCATAACTGAAGTCTGTGTAAATGCACTATGAAACTTTGAGTGACTCTCCTACTAGAAAAGATGTCTTTCAAAACATGGTTAACATTGGTGTTGATGACAGCAAAACTTACTTCACTGCTCAGGTGATTATCCTGAACCATCCAGGCCAAATCAATGCCAGCTGTACTCCTAAAGTGAACTATCACATAGCACATAATTCTTTCAAGTTTGCTGAGCTAAAAGGAAAGAAAAATTATCATTCTAATAAGAAGCTAGAAGATGGCCCTCAATTTCTACAATGTGGTAATGCTGCCATCATTGATAGGGGTTACTGATAAGCCCATATGTGTTGAAAGCTGCTCTATCTTCCTTTGGGTCAATTTTGCTATTTATGATATGAGACAGACAGCTGCTGTCCGTGACATCGAAGCAGTGGACAAGAAGGATGTTGGACCTGGCAGTCATCAACTCTGCCCAGGAAGCTCAGAGCATGGAATGACTATTATCCCTACTACCTGTCACCCTAATTTTAAACAGTAGCAGTAGTAGTCTCAATTGGCCATTTAAGTTTAATAATAAAAGACTGGTTAATGCTAATAATGCATTGTAAAAACCTTCAGAAGTAAATGAGTCTATTCTATGGACTATTTGGCATTTTGCATGTAGAAGTTTTGTAAGTTTGGTGTTTTGTTTCGGATTTTTAGACAGCGTCTCACTATACATAGTTCAGCTTTGCCCTGAACTTGCTATGTGGCCCAGACTAGCAATCCTCTTGCCTAAGCCTCCCAAGTGCTAGGATAGGCATATGCCACCACGCCTGGCTCTGCTTTGTTTTTTGTTTGTTTTGTTTTGCATTGAGGTTGTTGTTGTTGGTTTCATTATTAAATCAATACTTTTTAATAGAAATAACTTGACAAAAAAATATCAAAAATTTAGACTCACTAAAATGATCAAATGAGAAAGAAAACATAAACATTTCACACCTATTATGATTGTAATAAAAAAGTTAGCCAAAGTTAACTACTGTTAGCCAAAGTGTGGAGAAATAAGAACATTGCTTATACACTGCTACTGGAAATTTAAAAGGTATAACTGCTTTAGAAAACATTTTAGCAGTTCCTCAGAAAGCTAAACACAGGTATCATATAAACCAGCCCTCAGCTGTAGGTATGTACCTAAGAGAAATGACAATATATA